ACGATGACTCTGATCCATGATAGCTTCCTTGAATGCTTTAAATTATGTCTTGTGATCTCATCTGTAGTACAGTTTTATCTGTTGAAATTGTCGAGTGGGTTGAGAAAGAGATATTTTTATTTGCTTATGCCAGAGATCCCAGTTACATCACTAACCCAAGAACACTTTTAATATTTTGAATTGTGACTTCCCAAACCATGGGTAGGATTTGGGAGAGTTATCTTTCCTACATGGAGCCCAGGCTGATCCTGTTATTGACCGAATACCTTATAAGTTTACATTTCCATTATTCCTATGATAATTCAAAGGCAAACCTTTAGATTATTGAGACTGGTCCTATACATTCCATCTTGGGGACAGGCAGAGTAGCAGCCCAAATGTTTACCAATCTCATTCTCTCACATAAAGTTACTTTTTGTCTCCCGGAAGTTAATTACTTTTTTGCAACTTCAACCACGAATTTAAAGATTCTTATTACAGTTCTTCAGGATTGGTAGTGGAAGAATTTTAGAATTATCTGTTCTGCTAAATTCCAAGAGCTGAGAGCCCCTGAATATCCTTGTAAATCCTTATTTTATTTTATTTTTCTTTAGATATGGGGTCTTATTGTGTCATGGGTCTGAAGTGTAGTAACACAGTCATAGTTCAGAGTAGCCTCGAACTCCCAAGCTCAAATGATTTTCACACCCAGCATTCCTAGGAGCTGAGACTACAGGCATACACTACCAACAACAGCTAATTAATTTTTTTATACCAATGGAGTCTCCTTATGTTGCCCAGGCTGGTCTTGAATTCCTGGCCTCAAGTGATCCTCCTGCTTCATCCTCCCAAAGTGTTAGGATTACAGGCATGAGCCACCACATTTGGCCCTCTTTTCAATTTTTTAAGACAACACATGCAACGTTCTTTTCAATGAGGAGTAAATTATTTCCCACCGACCACTTACCTTAGGTAAATTACTAAACTCTGTTCATCAGTCCCATCATCTGTAAAACAGGGATGGTAATAATAGCATCTACATCATAAGGTGTTGGTGAAGATTAAATGAGTAATCATATATAGTTATAAGAGTGTCTGACTAAAAGTAGACACTAATTATCTTTCACTGTTGATACTACTGATGAGCCTGTAGATAATATGAATATTCTCTGGGGCCTGTGATAAGTTCTGGAAGAAAGTTAAAAAAGACTAACATTTTAGAGCAAAGCATGCTCTCTTTGATAGATTTAAGACACCAGCCCTTGGCTAGTTATCAGCTTCTGGCAAAGACGAATGCATTAGTCTGTTTTGTGTTGCTATGAAGGAATGCCCGAGGCTGAGAGATTTATAAAGAAGAGAGATTAATTTAGCTCACAATTCTGCAGCCTGTACAAGCATGGCATCGGCATCTTCTTGGCTTCTAGTGAGGCCTCAGGAAGCTCATAGTCATGGCAGAAGGCAAAGGGGGCACAGGTGTGTCATGAGACAAGAGAGGGAGCAAGTGAGTGAGACAGAAACAGAAAAAGGCAGAGAGAGAGAGAAAGTGAGAGAGAGAGAGAGAGAAAGAAAGAGAGGTGCTATGCTCTTTTTTAAACAATCAGTTCTTGTGTAAATTAATAGAGCAAGAACTCACTCACTAGCACAGGGAAGGCAGCAAGCCATTCATGAAGGATCCTCCCCCATGACCCAAACATCTCCACTAAGCCCCACCTCCAACATTTAGGATCACATTTCTTTCTTTCTTTCTTTTTTTTTTGAATCACATTTTGACATAACTTTAGAAGGGGTCAAATAGTCAAACGATATCAACTAGATACATGAGTATGTGACATCAGTTGACCATGTGATCCAAGCAGTTCCTCATGAAATGGGTGCTATAACAATGAAAAAACTCTTAAAATTGAATGAGCCTTCCTTCAGCAAACCATACTCATGTGGAAATGTTATTTAAGCATACACTGCGTGAGCATTTAGCTCTTGCTCCCAGCAGGTCTACCCCTATTATCTCATAGGGAGTTCTCTTCGAACAGTTAACTAAGGGGTAAAAACGCCAGATCTGGCTTACAGATGGATCTTTATAATTTGCAGAATCAGTTAGTAGTTGTTGCAGGGCAAAAGGGCAGTGGACAAAAGAAATCCTCCCCTTAGGATACAACAGTGCCAAATCTGCTTCAAAGGGGAGTTAGAATGAGGATTCTATGCTGTTTGCAGGACAAGGGCTAGAGGTTTGACTTGACGGGACTTAGAAGAAACAAGGTAGAATCTTGGGGTCAAGAAGGTTTGGGAAAATGTGGGTGAGTTTCTTCAAATGGCCCCAGAATAAAAGCATATTTATATGTAGCTTATAATGTTTTCCAAAAAAGCATTTCATTTGATAAATTTATATCATCAAAGTAAGTTTGAAAATAATGCTTATTCTCCCATGGATGTTAATCCTATTGCTTTTCTAGAAACTCCAGTGCTTGTTCTACGGCTTCACATAGCCAGTGGCCATAGTGGCAGGGAATTATGCTATGCATTGGCTCAAAAATAAAGATTTCCCCTCACTAAAGAATAACTGGCTACTGCTCAGCACTCAACTTGCCACAGTAGCAGCTGTGCAGGGCCCTTATTCTGCCACACTGCAGGATCCTATGATTGTCTTTAGTAAAAAAGTCAGATTGGCTTTGCCTTCTCTGCTCACCAAATTTCCCTCGACATGCTCGTTCATGAACTTATTGACTGGTCTATTCCTCATCAGATTTTGCACTTCATATATTTTTTCTAACTCGTTAAACCATGTTCTAGCAAAAGGAGTAAAGCTTTTGGGCAATGCCCATGGGGTAATTTATCTTATTGCAAAACCCACTACTAGAAACAGCAGACTTCATAGATGGTGGAATGGAATAGTAGAGACTCAGTTATGGTCTGAGGATATCCTATCTGGAAAGTACAAGGAAGAAAAAGCTTTTTAACAAGATGTATATGCATGAAACCAGAAATTAACATATAATAATATTTGTCCTAAACAGGACAGAAGTGGGTAGAGCTCCTCTTAATATTACACCTATACTCAAAGTTTTGAACTATGCTAGTTTAAAGACTTTTAGTACCTGAATAAGAATTCTTCCATTAAAAAACCTAGTGATAGTCTCATTTAATGGGAAGCTGAGACTACAGAAGGAATAGGCATATTGCTTTGGAGTTGTACTAATAATGAGTAGGTTTGGGATCTTCTTCCTTTGGTGGGCTGTGAACTGCATGCTCAGGTATTAAAGCACGGAGGTAGGGGGCGTATGTGAAGAAAGGCAATATTATTGTTGGACAGCCAAAGGGTGAATTATAGTCAGGTTTTTCCCTCCTCCTCTTCCTCTTCTTCCTGTTGGTCTTCTTTTTTGGTTGACAAGCATCAATATGACCTTTCTATGTTTAGAATATTCTCTGCCTTCGGAATCTCCATGAAACCTGGCCAATCTGGCCAGCAGACATACTCTCCAAGGTTTTAATCCTAGAAAAATCAACACAGAGAAAGGGGGTGATGGAGACATTTTTGTGGCAGAAACAGCAGGGAAGTTCTCAGAGGCAGCTGTGGGACTGCTGTCAGGGACAGCCAGTGGAGTCCAGTAACATCAGTGTTAATGACAATATTGACAGTGGTGAAGATGGTGTAGCATCCAGTATTAGGCAATATCTGTACCATTGGCTCTGTGGCCTGGTTTTTGGCTACAATCCCAGCTGTGCAGCCTTGCTTTGTTCTTCCCATTTTCTGAACCCATTCACTATGCTTTCTAGTGATTCTGTGAGTTACAGCATTATTAAGAATTTCCTGGTTCAGATTGCAATTAGAAAACCTTGAATCTTTCTTACCAGCAGAAATGAGCTTAATGAGGAAAAAATAAAGTCTGTTAACTCATATTCTTTACAGACCTTAGCAGAGAGCATTTTCAGAGTACATCTGATACTGTGGTTAATACGTATCAGGATCCCCAACCTGTAAATGTTATCATTTACTAAGGAATGTAAAACAAGTACATGAGACAAATACAATTTGCAGGATGGAATAAAATTAAATGCTAAATTGAGAACAGACTGTCATTTAGAAATAGTCTTTTTGAAAGAGATGGGACTATGTTTAATTTCTGAAGGATGGGCAGGAGATGGCATTTAAGGTACAGAAATCATCAAGCACAGGAACAAGTCTGGATATTCATGGGCCAGTGACCAATCTGACTGAAGGGTGGGTGCATGTCTGAAATCAATGGGAGGTATATTTGAATGATTAAGAGACAATATATCATTATGGCCCTGCCTGTCATCAGAAATAAAGATATTCTGTATTTCCCCAAATAAGGAATTCTTACATATAGCTTAACGTATTTAAAAATTTTTATTTTTAAATGTGCCTACAGAAAAGAGGTGGGGCCAAGGGAAGTAAATAATAAAACCTGAAGATAAATTTAAAAAGTATATATCAACGTGGGCTCAATTTTCCATTTTTTTGGAACTCAGTTTTGTTTTTGAATAATAAGCAGTTAAATAATTAAAGCTTTGTCTTGGCAGTGCAAAGACTGAAGATGATTTCTCGGTGGCAATTTTCCAGACTTGCTAGTTGTCCTTGGGTCTTGGTAACATTCTGCTCATTAACTTCAGGAAGGAGTCCAGGAGTAAAGATGCATTTGAAAGTGGCTGAAAATGGTTTGTAAAGCTCGGCTTTGCTGGCTTGACAGTGAAATGACCGCACAGGGCAGTCACTGGGTCAAAAATCAATTACAAAACAGGGGAAGTTTTCATATCTTTATTTTTACATTAGCTCGAAAATCACAACCAAGAAGAAAGGCAACCATTAAATACAGGAAATAGAGTATTGTTGCCTCCCCCCCCACACACACACACTTGGCAGGCTGGGTCGGCTGCCTCCCAGCCTCGTTGTGAAAACCGCGAAGCGGACGGTTCGCTCCCTGGCTTCTTCCCAGACCCCGCCAACGCGGAAACCCTCACTCTGTGGTCCCCGACCGGGTCAATGCGAGGCCGCCCACTCCTACCTTCCAGTCTCTCCTCTTCTGCAGAGGACAGGCGTCCCTTTCTCCACCTAGCCGGAGTCCGACAGCCCCAGGCCCGCGCCTCCAGCCCGCCCCGGGCGAGGTGGGGATGCGCCCGGCCCCGGCCGGCGCCGGTCCCGGCAGTTCCGCGTCTGCGCAGCGGGCGAGGGGCTGGAGCGGGGCCGGCCGGGGAGGCGCGGGAGGCGCGGGAGCCAATGGGCGCGCTCGGAGGAGCCGGGCTGGCGGCGGCGGCGGCCGGCCGGGCGCGCACTCTCGGGATGGAGGGCGAGCGCCGGGCATCTCAGGCGCGCTCCTCTGGCCTCCCGGCCGGGGGCGCCGACGCGGACAGCCCCGGGGGCGGCACCCCCTTCCCGGGCGGCGGCGGCTCCTCCGCCCTGCTGCAGGCGGAGGTGCTGGATCTGGACGAGGACGAGGACGACCTGGAGGTGTTCAGCAAGGTGAGGGCGGCGGCGGCTCCGAGTGCCGGGAAACTTCCAGCGCAACTCTGCGAGTTGGCGGCGTTGCGCTGACGGCTGTCTCTGGCGCGCTCGCCTTCTCGGGGCGGCGGCTGTGAGCTGGGGACGGGTGAGGGCCCCCGGGCTGCGGGACCCGCCTGCCAGCTCTGGCCGCACCCGGGGCCGCGTCGCCGCGGGGCCTCGAAGCGCAGCCGCTCCCTCCGCCGCACTTTGACCTATTGTTTGGCGGGGCTGTGGCTTCTTGGAGTCTGCGAAGTTGTGATTTCTCTTTCTGCTTCTCTGCCGCGGAGCTCTCCTCGCTGCAGCTCCCGAACCTGGGAGGCGGGTGGCTCGAAACCGCCCCCGCCCCTGCTAGCTGCTTTTCGGGCGAGGCCAGCCCTGAACTCTGGGAGAGATCTCAGCCAAGTTCAGAGAAATTATTCTTGATTTAGTGTTGTTGGTTGTGGATTCCAGACTTGGGTGACACCCGAGGCGAGTCACAGGTCCTGTGGGAATAGGTTCGAGGAAATCTCCCTGAACAGGAGAAAACGGTTGTTTCTAACAGGAAGCTCCTCCGCTGAGGAGCTAAGGATTTTTCAGATGGTCAGCTACTGCCACCCAGCCCATAGCCAGCGCTTTCGTTTTTCCTTGCCCCCGGGAAATTTAGGACCAAAGGCTCTGGGGTTATTTTACTGTTGGAGGCAAATTGACTGGTGGGGGTAGGCTTTTGGTATGTGTACCCAGCTGGTTGTAATTTCTTATAAAAGGGTTTTAGAAAAGAAAAATACCTTTCTTGCAGGGAGGTTGAATGTCACTCCAGTTTCTCAAGTTGCTGCTAAAGAGAAGACCTGAGTTCAGATCACAACGCTGTGCTAATTACCAACAAGCCTGTTCAATTTAATGTTACCTGGAAATGTTAGGTAAAGCAAACTACCTACTTAACCACCGCATTTATTCTGGGAAAGCAAACCCAAGTTAGAAAGTGAACAAACATACTCTGATACTCTGACTCCAAAGAGGAGTATGCAAAACTTATTTCTATTTCGGCTTAAATGGAATGATAGGCCCAGGCTTGTATTGTGGACATTTAAACAGACTATCACAGTTTTGTGCTCTTGGCTTTTCTATTAAATAGTAAAGAAATGGAATTATGTTTAGTTGTAAAAGGTAAACGCCTTTTTATATAACACACGTACTTTATGTTCAGATCAACGACAATTGGCCAGTTGGTTATAAATTTCCTTTCTTCTTTACATTGCTGTTTAGATCAGGAATATTAGCCTATTGTTATGCATTGTGAAAGTTTCAAAATGGGATGGGATGTTGGAAGTGAGAATAGCATATCAGAATCATCGGGGTGTCCTTCTGTTTTTTTTTGTTTGTTTGTTTGTTTGTTTGTTTGCCCCGGCTGGACTCAAACTTCTGGCCTCAAGAGATTCTACCACCTCAAGCTCCCAAAGACCTGGGATTACAGGCTTGAGCCACAGTGCCTGGCCCTGAGATTGTTTTAAACTTGTCAGGTGGTTTCTCTTTCCCCAGATTGTTTAAATGAGGTCCTCTCGGGCAGATCTATGGTGAAGCTAATGAAATTGAAGCTTCAGCGCTATTCATTTGCTTAGACCTTTGGGCATGTTGAGGGTTGCTGGAGTTGCAGATGTTCTAGGTGGGAAGGAAATGACAGGTTGCAACCAGAAGCATTTCTAAATAAGCATTTCTGGTGAATTGCATAAAACTCTCTCAGACTAAGGAATCTAGATCTCCATGGCTCCATTCATTTAATGGGATTTCGTTTCTCATTCTGAATCATTTGTTTTTCCAACTAATTTTGTATTCTTTTAAAAGGGGACCTTCCAAACTCTGTAAGAATGTACACCTGGGTCCACCCTGCTTGTTAGTGTTAACTGTGCGTGTTGGATGCTTAGAAAAAGTTAATAACATCTGTAGAAACTACCCACATAGATTAAGGCAAAGATATTAGTTAAAATCCAAAAAGAATAGTTGGAAAAGTTTAAAGTTAGCCATTTTCATCCATTTCAGTAAGTTGAATTTCTGAACCACTATCTATAGTTAAGCAAGCAGATTTAAGAAAGTCTGATCCATGTGACCTTCCGTTTGCACTACTACTGCCTTTCTTACCTGCTCCTCTGTAGAACAAACACCACTGCTGTTCAGCCTACCCTGGGAGAGAATCTCACAATTACTTATGAAGCAGATTGCCCTTCCCCTTTAGTACTTTGAAGTTGGCAAATCGTATATTCAGTTTACATTCACCTTTGTAGTCCTCTTATTCCCTTAGATTATTTGTGAATATATGTCTGGTGCCCTCTTCCAGAAGGTTTTTAAAGAGTATGAATTTCCCCACCACTTTGGAAGGCTAAGGCGGGCAGATCACTTGAGGTCAGGAGTTTGAGACCAGCCTGGCCAACGTGGTGAAACCCCATCTCTACTAAAAAATATAAAAATGAGCCAGGTGTGGTGGCAGGAGCCTTTAATCTCAGCTACTCAGGAAGCTCAGGCAGGAGAATCGCTTGAATCTGGGAGGCAGAGGTTACAGTGAGCTGAGATCGCACCACTGGATTCCAACTAAATGACGAAGTGAGACTCTGTCTCCGAAAGGAAAAAAAAAAAAACAAAAACTTATTATTTTTTTCTACAACATATTACAAATAAATGGCAAATGTATATTTTGTTTTATGTGTGCTTTAAAAATGCAAGATTTAGTTCTTGCTATCACAATCTTATAGTCCAGGTGGGAAGATGTGACAGAAACTCTAAAATAGCAGTACAAATCAAGAGGGGTGGAAAGTAAAACAAAGTTGTTCTGAATTTTCATATAGTCTAGTGAGAAGAAAATGATGCCAGATCTCAAGAGAATGCAGAGGTTATTGACTTAAAATAATGAGTGTAGATATTAGAAGGAGGAGAACAGAACCAGTCATTCAAAAACCGTAAAATAAAAAAAGAAAGAGACAAATGGTAACAAGAGCCTAACAATTATTTTAGAACTAGGTCAAAATGAGATGAGGCTTCTAAAAAAATTGAGCTGGAGAAAAAGGGCCAATTTCTTCACGTTTAAAGGAAAAAAAAAATCTCCTTTTTGGGGAAAACAATAATTAAAATAACTCTCCTATATTTTTGAATACTGTAATGTACAGAAGAAACAGCAGTGGATACAGTGTACATCAATAGGTTACAATGAAGCACTGAGATGCTTATCTGGTACTCAGTAAATGATAGCTCTTATTGGCCTCTTTAAAGATATTTGGGATCATAAAATGAGATATATAGATTACCTAGGATAATCAGGGAACTCACAGATGAAATCATCCTCATCACCACTAGTCATCTTTGAGAAGTCATGAAATGTGAAATGCAGGCATGGTTCTCCCAAACTAGAGATAGGTAAAGATTGTTTTTAAAAAATGATGGGCAAAAGGAAGTTTAGGCAGGTACTGAATAGTAGGCTTAATTTCAGTCTTCAGGAAAGCCATGAAGTGAATTATTTGTATGTTGTTTATAAACCCTTTGGGGAAAAAAAAAAAAACATGATGAAACTAGCATGTTTTATAAGAATAATGAAAGACTTAAGATTGAGTTTATGGTAAATCAGAAATATAATGAACATTATTTGAGCAAGGCTTTTGGAAAAAAATCACTCATCTTTTCAGAAAAGGTTATTTTTGAAAGAATAAAGTTGAGACATATAATGCACACTGTACATATCTTTTTATATATTTTTTCCTCTCAGTTTGGAAATTCAGTATAGTGATGGAGCAACATAATTGCACTATTCAACTATCCTATCAAATACTTAGAAAAAGATTAGGAAGTCCTACTAACTAATTTTTCACATATATTCTCTGAACAGTCCATTTGGTTTCCATTGTGTGCCTGTATCAGTCATCACCCTGATAAAAATCAGAATTCTCGCCAGTGGTTTAAATGAGAGTTGAATGAGGGGACTATTTATGGAATGATTGGCTGAGTTAGTGAACAAACAAGGAATACTGAGGTATTTAGAGAGTTATAGTAGGAAAAAACTGTTAGTGTTCCTAGCTTTAAAGGGACAAGAAATAGAAATAGCATTGCTGGAAACCACTCATACCTGGAGCTGTGGAGAGGGGGACACTTCTTCAGGAACTCTATTTACAGAGAGGTAGCTACTGCTGGAAATGTGCCAAAGCAGGAGGGAATAAGGGATATGTTCCCTGAATTCCTCTCCTCCTGCCCTTAGATCTGCTTGTGCTCCTCATTGAGTGATCTTGCTAAGGTGATTTCATCTAGGTGCGAGCCTCCTAGGGCATGTAAAATAAATGGGTGGGGTCATAGGACGCAGTGGAAGGACATATAGTGGAAGTGATGCTGTGCAACTTCCCAGGGTAGATTATGAAATGGAATGTAGGTTTCATGTTGCCCAGTAGGACACTGTGCATGTCAGAGCACCATGTAAGAAATACAACCTAAAACCTCCATGTTAGGAAACCCATGTTACATTGAAAATACATGTAAATGCTTGGTCAGCAGCCCCAGCTGAAGTCTGAGCACTATCCAGCATTTAGTGGCAGGCTTTCATGTGAAGATGTCTGTATGATTTCACCCTCCAGCATTCAGGTGCCCTTAGCCATCAGGTCTTTTCAGTTGAGGCCTCATGTAAAATGGAGGAGAGACAAGCCATTTCTGCTGTGTGCTGCCTGAATTCCTGCTTAAATAAAATAGTAATGTAAAATGTAAAATGTAAAATAATAAAATGTAAAATGTAAAATAATAAAATAGTTTTATATGACTAAGTTTTCAGATGGTTTGTTACACATCAGTAACTATAACAATAGCTAATAGTCTGTATATCATAATCCGCCTTCCAAATCATTTGATAAGTTAGAATGTTGTGTTCAGGGGTAGACTATGAAATTTAATTAGGATAAATATGAAGTTATGATGAAAGCTCCATTAGTCATTGTGAATAAAAATACCATTAAGATGTAAGCTTAGTGGTTAGGAGTAGA